GGAAACAGAATGACTGAATTCAAACAGCATGTTGTGACAAAACAATAACCTGAAACTCACTATGCAGTTCCACAGGGTTGCAGGAAACTGAAGCTGAATCAACTGATAATTCTCTGTAACTAATAATAAGAACAGCTAGCATTTTATATTTTCTTTTTGTGATCGTCACAACATGTTTTCCTTCTGTGACGCAGGAGTCAGAGGACTGGGCATCGAGTCTCCACAGGTCTTCCTGGTGTCCAGCTTTGATCTCAGCTTGTACGACTTCTCTCTCTTACAAAAGACCTTAGAGAGAGAGCTCCCTGAACACAAGAGAGATGCTCTGCTGTTGGCTACACCCAGTTTCAACCTGGAGATCATCAGCAAGAAGAAAGAAGCTTTCAATGTAAGATTGTATTGCTGCTGTGTTTATGATCATTGTCTTGTTGATCAGTTAGCAGCACCTGGCTGCTGCTTACCTTAGTAAATCCTGAGGAAGGAGAACTGAGAAGATGTTTTTCTCATGACTGTAACTGTGGCCTGTGTGAAAACACACTGATCAGATCATTGGCTGCTGCTTTAAATCCAAACTGACAGACATCATAGTTTTAGGTTTCAAACATTTCCTGTAACTTCACACAGCATCTCATCTCAGACTGTTTTTACACACTGTGTGCTGGTCTGAGCTGGGATCATTTTCTTTCCAGCCTAACAAACATTTTGCTTTTTAACTTTTCAATTCAGAGATGAAAATTTCAACCACAGATTTATTTTAAGCCCATTTCAATCCAATGAAAATATTTCAGTCCTCTGAGACAGAAAAAAACTAAATATTAAGAAATTAAATGACTCTCCATAATTTGGCTCCAGCTTGTATTTAAGGTGTTTTATTTTTGTTTGTGTAATTATTTAATTGTTGCATTTTAGGCCAGTTGTGTGTATAATGTTAGATTGTGATAGTTACATTTCATGCCTCTAAAATCACAAAAGTAAATTTTGTCCTCTTTTGCTGTTTCAGTCTTTAAGTACAAGCACAGACGACCAGTTTGGATTTGCATTAGTTAAAGAAGAAATTAATGAAGCTCTGCTGAAGAATGACCCACCAGCAGCTGCTGCAAAGATCACTAAGTTAATGATGAAGGAGAAAAACATCACACTAAATATCGCCATCACAGGAGAAGCTGGTTCTGGTAAATCCACCTTTGTTAACGCTCTCAGAGACCTGTCCGATGGTGACGAGGGAGCTGCTCCTACTGGTGTTACAGAAACCACCATGAAGGTCACAGAGTACCCCCATCCAAAGTATCCCAATGTTACTTTATGGGATCTTCCTGGAATCGGCACCACCAAGTTTCCAGCTGATGAGTACCTGAAGCTTGTTGGATTTGAGAAGTTTGACTTCTTCATCATCATCTCAGACACTCGCTTCAGAGAAAATGACGTGAAACTGGCTCAGGAGATTCAGAGGATGAAGAAAAAGTTGTACTTTGTTCGATCAAAGATTGACAACAATATGCGAGCTGAGAGAAGAAAGAGAGACTTCAGTGCAGACGAGGCTCTGACAAAGATCAGAGAAGACTGCGTTAACAGTGAGTGTTCAGTGATCATTTATCCCAGTGTGAGATGAATTTCTGGATGTTCTCTCCTTTAAAAATGTGTGAATGTAATAACCTTTATTTTCTGTTGTTTGCATCATCACATACTCAGAAAAATGACAAATTACTTTGATTATCAGTGATCACTGAGAGAAGCTGTATGAACTTTATTTGATGTTTCAAGTGTATAAAGTTATTTAGATCTGTCCTCCTGCAGCTGCTGGAGAGGTCAGGCTTTTATTGGACAGCTTAACTTTATAACACTGATCACTCATTAAACTGCTACTGTCTCTCTCAGGCTCATACCAAAATTTAGGGTAAAAACAGATTTTCAATTTCAATTTGTTCATTTTTGACTGACAAGGTAAAATGATCAATCAAATTCATTTATTGGGTCAACAATGTATAAACATATAATCAGTTTTATCTCCAGTGTTTGTCTCCATCAACAAACATACTTTAGTTGTTTGATGTTTCTTGAAGAACAGCTGCCTGCTGCTGTTAATCTCTAACTCAGTTTGTTTGGTATTGTTCAGACTCTC